ACCCCCCCAGCCTCTCCGCGTAGGTCATGTGCTCCAGCCCCCCTGAATCATTGTGGTCGCCTCCGCTGGCCCCTCGCCAATGCACCCACATCCCTTCTGTAGTGGGGGGGCCAGAACTGGACACAACACTCCAGATGTGGCCTCATCAGAGCCGAATAAAGGGGAATAATGACACCTCTGGATCTGCTGGCAATGCTCCTCTTAATGCATCCTAATATGCCATCAGCCTTCTTGGCTGCAAGGGCCCCTGTTGACCCATATCCGGCTTCTCATCCACTGTAACCCCCAGGGCCTGTTCTGCCGAACTGCTGCTTAGCCAGTCGGCCCCCAGCCTGTAGCAGTGCCTGGGATTCTCCCCTCCCAAGTTGAACCTCATCAGGTTTCTTGTGGCCCAATCCTCCAATTTGTCTGTGTCACTCTGGACCCTGTCTCTGCCCTCCAGCGTATCTACCTCTCCCCCCAGCTTAGTGTCATCTGCAAAGTCCCTGAGGGTGCAACCCATCCCCTCCTCCAGGTCATTCATAAAGCTGTTGAACAAAACGGGCCCTAGAACCGACCCCTGGGTGTTCCGCCTGACTCCGCCCACCAGCCAGACATCGAGCTGCTGGTCGCTACCCGTTGAGCCCAGCCACCTAGCCAGCTTCCTGTCTGCCGTACAGTCCATGTATCCAACTCACAGCGGGGACCTTGGGGCCCTCCTGTTGGCCAGGGCAGTGGTTTGCCAGACAGCTGAGCTCCCGGAGCGCTGAAGGGGGTAGAAAAGCAGGAGAAGGGAGATGTAAGAGCAGCCACACTGGGTCAGACCAAGGGCCCCTCTAGCCCAGTGTCCTGTCTGTCGCCCGAGGGAGCGAATATAACAGGCAATCACCACGTGATCCCTCCCCGTCATCCATTTCCAGCCCCTGACAGAGGTCAGGGACACCACCCCACCCATCCTGGTGAACAGCCATTGATGGACCCAACCTCCATACATTTATCTAGCTCTTTCTTGAACCCTGTTAAAGTCCTGGTCTTTACAACATCCTTTGGCAAGGAGTTCCGCAGGTTGGCTGAGTGCTGTGTGAAGGAAAATTTCCTGTTAATACTCAGATGGGGTGGAACCCAGGAGGGGAGCCAGTTGTCTCCCTGCCTTGGCCAGCCTGGGTGAAGTGTGTTTGGTGGGAGAGCCTAGAAAAGCCCAGGAGCTCACCAAACACGGGGGGCATGTGGTCTTAATTCCCAGCTGGGCCACGTGCCCGTGTCTGACAGTAGCTCACAGCAGATGCTTCTAAGAGAGGTGCAAGAAACCCCTTAATAGATGATCAGTCACGAGTTTGCTTGTAAGGGGCGTTTCTTTCCCTCACTGGTGTGTCTGAGCGGGGGCAGGGCAGGAAGAGAGCACATGGACCGCTCTGCGGCGGGCTCTTTGTCCAGGGCGCTAAGCGCGGCTTATTCTGAAGGGTTAGGCGGCCTGTCTGTCCAGTTGGCGTCTGTTGTAAATTAGATGGGGGCTAATGATCCCCCCTTTGCGCTTTTAATTTTTGTAGGTAGTGAACTTGTTCAACATGTTCATCACGTACGGAGACACCTTCCTCCCCACGCCCAGCAGCTACGACGAGCTGTACTATGAGATCATCCGGATGCACCAGAATTTCGATAACCTCTACTCCATGGGTGAGCGCCTGCCTGCTGGGTACCATGGATAAAACCAAGCGAGAGAGGAGCGGGGTGTGTGTGTGTGGGGGGGGAGTGAATGCACACGTTGGGGGGTGCGCAGATGCACATGCTGGGTGGAGCACATGGGGAGTTTACATAGAGACCCAGTACATGGACACTGGAGAAAGGGATGAATCTGGGAAAAGAATAAACTGTTCCTTTTCCAAAAGAGCAAACAGCAAAACCTCCCCAAACCTCCATGGTGCATTAAGCAGCCGATAGTTGGCCTCTGCCAAGCCAGGCTGAGCTCCAGCGGGGCCAGCACGCCCAGCATACCTTCGCCTCGGCTCGGAGAGCAAACCCAGCTGCGGAGCCGGGCAGCGCGAGCACAAGGGGTGAAAAGCAGGGCAAGTCGCCTGCTGCCAGGGCCGCGTTCACACTGTGGGGCCAGAGCACAGCCGGAGAGCAGCCCCCACACCGGGCTGGGAGGAGGAACTCACGCGCTGGCTCGGCCACAGGAAGCCTCCTTCCCGAGGATAGGAGCGCCCGGGGGAGCCGCCATGCAGAGCCCGGCGGGGAAGCCGGGGCAAGGAGGGGAGCACAGAACCCTGGAGGTATAACCAAGCAGTGTGCAAATGAGCCTGCGCCCAGAGCCTCCCACTGCAGGGCTGGGTTGTGCCGGGTGCTGCAGCTGGAGACGGCTGTGTGCACCGTGCCCACACCCCGCCCACTCCCCTGGGGCATGTGGACCTGCTAGTGTAGCTAACGGGGGCAAGGCGAGCGCATCCCGGGGTCGGGCAGCCTGAGAGCGCGAACCAGCTGCAGAGACGCACCCGCTGCTTCTTAGACTGCCACTGAACCAAATCTTTGCGGAATAAACGACCTCTCTTCTCCGAAGAACCGGAAAAGTGGAGAAGGGCAACAAGAAAGGTTGGGGCATAGAACAGCTTCCGTAGGAGGAGGTATTAAAAAAGGCTGGGACTGCGTAGCCTGGCAAAGAGATGACGAAGGGGGGCTATGAAAGAGGTCTGTAAAATCGCGACTGGTGTGGCAAAAGTGAAGAAGGACGTGTTATTTACTCCTTCCTGTAACATATGAATCAGGGGTCACCAATGACATGAATAGGCAGCAGGTTGAAACAAGCACAAGAAAGTATTTCTTCACACAGCCAACCTGTGGAACTCCTTGCCAGAGGATATTGTGAAGGGTAAAAGTATAAGTGGGCACAGAAAAGAATGAGATGAGTTCCTGGAGAATAGGTCCGTCAGTGGCTGTGGTTGGAGTGTCTCTCTGACAGCCAGGAGCTAGGACTGGATGTCAGCGGATGGATCTCTCAATGAATCATGGAACCCTAGAACTGGAAGGGACCTTGAGAGGTCTAGTCCAGTCCCCTGCCCGCACGGCAGGACCACGCACCATCTAGACCAGGGGTCTCAAACTCATTTTATCTAGGGCCAGTGCCAGTCCCCCTGTGCATCTCCCAGCCCTGCCTGCTGCCCCCAGGTGATTTAACCCTTTCCTCCACCCTCAGCGCTCCCCACCGCTGCCACCAGCAGTGCAGCAGGGCGAGAGCGGCTTCTAGCTGTTAGTTCCTCGCTGCTGCTGGCACACGTCCCTGTGGCCCGGGGGGAGGTGTGTGCAGGGATGTCCCATCTGTGGCATGGTTTGGGACAGCCACTCTGAGCCCTGTACTTTGGGGGGTGACCCGGACCGGGCCGGTCTGGGCACAGCTGAGGGCGTCCGCTCAGGGCGAATTGCTCAAATTCGGGCTCCTTACAGCCCCCAGACTGGTGACCTTTCTGAACAGGCCACAAACCAGTCCCACAGAGCGCTCCAGCTGCCTGCCTGAAGAAGTCTGAGCCGTCTCTCTCCTTCTCTTGCAGTGCTGCGGCTCTCCACCAATGCCGGCCAGTGGAAGGAGCCCGCCAGCAAGGTGACCCACGCGCTGGTCAACATTCGGTAAGGCCTGGCGCTGCTGGGAGCCCTGCTGGGCGCTTCCGTGTGGGCTGCACGGGGCAGGTTGGGGATTCGGTTCGCTGGGCGAGGGGGGGGAGGGTGTTTGTGAACGGTGGAATGCACGTTCTGTGTGAGAGCGGTGCTGAGCGCTGCCCGGTGCTGTGCCCTGCACACGCCTCACCCAGTTAGTCCTTGTTGCGCCCCGGCTGTGCCCAGCAGGCCTGGCTCTGCTGCCTTCTCCGTGCTTCTGGCTCGCCTGCCGTGGCGGGGTCT